TATGAGCTACACCTTTTTTATGGATTTCAGAAATTACTATGATTTTAATTATAAGTTACTTTAGATTATTTACTTAAAGTAATGTCTTGAAAATTCTTCAGTAAATTTTCTGAGCTTTAAATATTATAATAGATTTCCCTATTTGGCATAGTCCATCATAATGCAACCATCACATTCACATTCTCTAACTCTAATGACTCCTGGAATATTGCTTAATAATTGCATAATTTTTATTTCATTTTCATACAATGATGACTATTGTTATTTAAAGACCTTCATAGCCATCAATTATCCACATCGATTCACTAATTAAACACTATTCACTTTTAACAATTAAATTACTCCGCTGAATATCCTTGTCCAATTTTTGTCACTACAAACATTTAAGAAATATTAATATACTAATAAATATTTATTTATTTTATAACACTTCACCATCCTGGTGTTAAATAATAATATATAAAAATAACAAATGCTACATAAATTTTTATATTTAAACTTATCTTTCAATATGGCTCCATTATTTAACTATTCAAATTTTGATTTTAATTATATTTTGGTTAAAATGTCCATATATTGAATAATTTATTATTTAAACAATCTACAATTAATAATGAGATTATTATAGCAATTAATTACACAAATATTAAAATAATAAACAATCCCCAATATTATATTCTAATTTTTATTCATTAATATTATGAAAATCAAACAAACTAACTATTAAGTCATATATTATCAATTTTTTAAACATAATGTAAAAATATCAATAAAATAATAAATTGGTTAATTAGATCTTATTATCTATTAGTAATGTTTGAATTTTTGGATAGACATATCAAATTTAATTAATTCTTGTTTTTCTTTTTAATTGTCTTTTAAATGAAATTTTTACTAATTTTTTAGATAAAAAATTTATATCAATTGAATTTATTAACATATAAATAAAAACCCCGGCTTATTAATTTTTTAACTTTATTTATGAGTTAACTTATTGGAACTTTGTCTTTGGATACTAATGCTTATGTTGATTACAATATTAGTGAGAATATGTCAAACAATGCATTGGAAAACTCTGATTTATTGAAAGTGAGATTAGGTAAAATTAAAGGAATGAAAGTTTGCAATTTTAAATCATTTGAAAATGAACATTATATAGGTCCATTTACTAAATTTACAAGTATAATAGGACCAAATGGTGGAGGTATTTAATAATAATATAATAAAATAGGGAAATCAAATGTTTTAGATGCAATTTAATTTGTATTAGGTATTTCAATAAGATCAATGAGATGTCATAGAGCAGAAGAATTAATTTATAGTTAATCAATGTATTATAAAAATTATTAGGAAGAGGATAGATCAGCATATGTGGAATTAATTTTTGAGGCAATAAATTATATTGAGACTTAAATTTCACTTAAAAGAACTGTAAATAAATAATAGCAAACATAAGTTTATATTGGTGAATAATAAGTTACTGAGAAAGAGTTAAGTTCATTTCTTTTATTGTCTAAAATTATATTGCCTGCTAAGAATTTCATTATGTTATAAGGTGATACTGATACATTAACAACAATTGAACCTAAAAAATTAACAGAATTATTTGAATATGTTAGTGGTAGTGTTCAATATAAAAATACTTGTCAATAGATTTAAAGTGAATTAAATAAAGTAGTTATTAGAATGAGAGAATTATAATTTTAAAGAGGAGCTATGAGAACAGAATAAAAGAAAGTAAAAGAATTAAAAAATACTTCAGATAAATACAAAAAAATAAATGATGAAATAAATTAATTGAAATTAAAATAGAAATTGTTTGAACTTAAATAGATAGATAATGAATTAGAAGATATATCTAAGTAATTAACTTAAAATAAAAATGATGAATCTGATTAAAATAGTGAAAATAAGAAATTAGTAGAAGATATTTAATAATGTGATTTAGAAATAGAAAAATTAAAATAAGAATTAAATTAAATAGAGGAAAATGAGAAAAAGATTAAAAAAGATGAGAAATCTAAAGCATATGATACAACTTCTATTGATTTAGAAATAGAATTATTAAAAAAATAAGTATCAACATATGAAGGTTTATTGAGTAAATTGAAAAAGGATATTAATTATTAAATGGAAATGATAGAAGAAGTTTAAACAGATCTTGATGGTAAAACATAACATTTATAAAAAATAAAATCTTAAAGTAATTTAAAATTATCTAAAAAATTAATGGAAGAATTTTAAGAATTATAAATGAAATTTAAAATATAAAATTAACAAATATAATCTGAATTAGAAAAATTATAAGAAAAATAAGGAGTTGCATAAAAGATATATGATTAAATTGATGATGAAATTAAATAATATACTGATGATCGTAAAGAATTAATATAAGCTATTGAAGAATAAAATACATAATTAAAATATGTAAAGGATGAATTTGATGTATTAAAAGATAGACATCAAAATACATAAAAAAGAATAGATGAATTGTATAGATAAAATTAAATTGAAGAAAATGAATTGAAATCACTTTAATAACATAAAATTGAATAAGAAAAACAATTAAGATTAATTGAAGTTTAAGAAACTGAGAATATTGATGAAAAATAAACATAATTGTTAATTTAATAATTAAAGTCAATGTTCAAAGATTTTAGAGGAGAATTATCTAGTTTATGTAATCCTGATTAATAATAATTTGCTATTCCATTGAAAGTGGCTCTTGGTTAAAGATTACTTTGTGCATTAGTAGTTGATTCTGAGAAAACAGCTAAAGAAATCAATATGCATCTAAGATCTCTTGATATTGTTAAGGAATTAATTATATTGAATAGAGTTAAAAATAATAAGGATGAATCTGAATTAAGAGAAAATGTTGAATAATTTGTATAATAATATAGAAGACAGACAAGAGCAGGTAAAGCATATTTAGCAATTGATATAATAAAATATGATTAATGTTTAGATAAAGTTTTAAAGTCATTATTAAATGGAGTAGTTGTTTGTGATTCATATTAATTAGCAGTTTAATTATAAAAAGAGAAGATTTAAGATGTTAAATAGATAATTACATTGGATGGAATTACTTTGGCAACTTCAGGTATGATTGTATTTAATGGATCATAATAAAGATTATCAGAGATGAGAAATTTTAGATCAAATAATTAAAGAATATAATAAAAAGGGCCAAAAGAATCAAAAGAATAATTAATTAAGTCTATTGATGATTTGTAAAATAAAATTAAAACTCTTAAAAATGTTAGTGTTTAAGATGATCTTAAATATCATTCTGCATTAAAAATGAAATTAGAAGAATAATAAGCTTAATTATCAAATAAATAGATTTAATTTTAAAAATCAATATAAATGTATAATGAGAAATTAAAATAAGTTGAAAAATTATTAGATGAACTTTATATAGAAATAAACAAAAGAAAAGTTTAATTGAAGGAATTTGATGAATAAAATGAAAAACTTGTTAATTAAATATAAAATTAATAAAAAGTGGCATATTAAGATTTTGCAAAAAGAAATTCAATAAGTTTATAGGACTTAAACTAATTAGACTTTTAATAAAATTTAGGTAAATAATTAGAAATGAAATAATAATAATTAAATAAATTGTAAGTATAGAAATAAAGTATGGAATAATATTTAGAAGAATTAAAAAAGAAACAAGAAGATTTTTAGACTTATATAAAAACTAAAATTGAAGCTATTAATAATTATGAATAAAAAAAAATTGATCTCTAATAGAATCATGAAAAAAAAAATAAAGATTTAGTCTAATATTCTCATAAACAATAAGAAATTAATCAAAAATTAAAAACATAATAAAAGAGATTGCTTAATCTTACTGATATGAGAAATCAATAAGTTAGAAAAGGAGTAGATAAAAAATAATAAATCAATTTAATTAATAGAAAATTAGAATAGTTAAGATTTTAAAGAGGTAGATTAATAGAATTATGTGAAATTGAATCTATTCCTGTTAGATTTAAAAGATCTCAAGGAACTTTTCAACCTTCATTAAATTTTGATGATGATTAATAAATGGATATGGAAGCTATAGATTATACTGCTATTAAAAATGATTTAAAACATTCTAATTGGAATAAATTAATTGAAGAGATAAATGTAGAATTAGAAATAAAAGAATAAGAAATTACTAAATATTTATCTGAAAATTTACAAGTTGGTTTAATTGGAGCTAAAACAGATGAAAAATTTGTCTAATTAGAAACAAATATTGAATCATTAGGAAGATCAATTAAAGAATTATAAAATAGAGAAGCTGAATTAAGTGATTAATTAGTATAGACATAATAATTAAGAAAAGATAGATTTGATAAATTATTTGATAGAGTAGAAAAGGAAATCAAAATATTATATTAAAAACTAACTGAAAATTAAAATAGAGTTGGTGGAACAGTTTTACTCTATATGGAAAATAAAGAAGAACCTTTTGAAGGAGGATTGATATATACTCCTAATCCTCCTAACAAAAAATATATTTTTGATAATTCTGAACAACTTTCTGGAGGTGAAAAGGCAATAGCATCAATTGCTTTATTGTTAGCATTAAATGCAGCAATTGATGCTCCATTTATTTTGCTTGATGAAGTAGATGCTCATTTAGATTAAGATAATGCTGATAAGTAACAATTTTATTTTAAATTAATAGATTACAAAAGATTGTTAAACTGTTATCGAATTAGATTTAGTTTGTGCTTGTAAGTCATAATCCAGATGTATTTGCTCATTCAGATTCGCTGGTAGGGGTAACAATCCAACATTCTAAAACTACTAGTGAAGCATTTTCATTATTACTTTGATTTTTTACAAGTTTTGATATTATTTATATTGTATTTAACTGTTGAAGAAATGAAAAGAGTTATAATTAAAAACAATTATGAAACAATTAATAATGATACATAATAATAAAGTTAAAATAATTTGATGATATTCAATTTATATATTTATATTTGCATAATAAAATGGATAGACAGGGGATAGACACAATTTGTAAAACCGATTCTTCAAGATTAATGACAATGCGAAATAATACAGAAACCTTAAGTAAGATATTCTTATTAATTTAAGTCATCAACAATTTAGGATTTGATAGTCGGCCTGGATTAGGGTAACAAATAAATGACCAATAAATTCCTGAGAGTTGTGTTGATGATGATAATGAATTGTATGCTTCAGAAAATTCTTCCATTTCAAATTAAAGTAGACAAAGAAGTAGAAAGGAATCAAGAGTAGAATCTCTCAGTAAAATAATGAAGGAAACCCAGAAAATTTAATCAGATGATCTTCATTAACCTATTGGAGGTTGGGATAATAAAATATGGTAAAAAGGTGCATTAAGAATAATGACTTACGTTATCAGATTCGTAATGGCATTATTAATAAATTCTGAAAAGTTCAAATTTACATTCATGAAAAAAAGACAATTCTAAGCAATAAATGATCAATCAGCTATATTTGATTATTATGAAGAGAGATTTTTAATACGAGGCAAAAAGAAACTTAGTTATTCAGTAATTATATAAAATTTATTAAGTAAATACTTAAATTAAGAATTCAAAATAATTGTTTATATTAATCTTGCCATATATTTTTATAATATGTTGTTTACAAGATTATCTTTATTATAGTTCCAACTAGTACTCCAAAATTAATATGGGATGTATTCCTTTTAATAATTTTATCAATTTAAATGGTCTTTGTGCCATTAAAGATTTGTTTTTAAATTGAAATAACTTAAGAAATATTGTAGTTTTTTTTATTAACATTACCACTATATGTCTATCTGATAGAAATACTATTAAATTTTTTAACGGGATTTTATGAACATGGAGTATTAGTAATAGATTAGAAACAAATTGCATTACATTATTTAAAATCTACATTTTGGTATGATTTTTTAAGTGTAATGCCTTAATTTATAAGTACTATAAGTGATGAATCACAAATTTTTGAGATTCTATTATTAATACGTTTAAAAAGATTAATATTACTTGCAGATACATTAGAAGAGACATTAAATTTAAGATAAAATTATTAAACATTTATTGATGTTGTTCGTTTGTTAATTTAATTTCTATTTTTATCTCATTTATTTGGATGTGTGTGGCATTACATAGGAGTTTTAGAAGAAGAATTTGGGTATTTATGTTTTAGATATATTGATTTAAGATATGATTAGAATTGGATCAAGTAGAAAAATATAGATGGAGAGTCCTGGTTTGTTAGATATGTTTTTTCAATTTATTGGAGTTCTATTACAACATTAACTATTGGATATGGAGATGTAATACCAGTAAGTTCAGTTGAAAGAATGTTTGTTGTAATAGTAGCTGTAGTAAGTAGTGTAGTATTTGCATATACAATTTCAAGTATTGGAAATATTTTTAGTTAATTAAATGAAAATAAAAAGAATTAAAGACATAAAATGTTTTTAATTAAGAAGTTTATTGATGAAAGAAATGTAAATAAGGTATTATCTAATAAAGTAAAAAAATTCTTTGAATATTTTATTTAAATTGATCATACTTCTGATAATGAATGTGTTAAATTGATTGAGAAATTAGATCCAACTTTGAAAACAGAATTAAAAATAGATATTTATAGAAAATTTATATCAAATTCTAAATTAATATCTACTACATTTTCTGATTTAATGTTAAATGAAATATGTTAATTAGTTAAAGAGAAATAATATATGCCAGATGAATTTATTGTTATTTCTGATTAAGAAATTAATGAATTATATTTTGTTTTAGAAGGTGAAATCTCCTTAATTGTAGAATTAAATAAATGTATTAATTACATAATTTATAATTTTTTAGAAAAGAATAAAGTCTCGTAATTGTCATTAATAAAAAAAAATGAGGTTTTGGGAGAAAAGTATTTTCTTACTAATGCTAAATTACCTTTTTCTGCCAAAGCTTAGAGTTTCGTTAGAGTTGCTGTTTTAGATAAATAATAATTAAATATCCTACTTCAAAAATATCCAGAAGAATTCGAAAAATATAAATAAGCATTGAATAAAGTTCAATTATAAGAAAGAATCAAATTAGCAGGTTGTGAACTCTGCTATTAAAATCATAAAGTTTTAGAGTGTCCTTTTGTATTCTATTAACCAAATGTTCGATTTATAGTTAAACGGTAATACCTTTAAGAATAAGTAAGACAATAATTTGAGCGTAGACAAGCTAAATCACATGTAATAATTGATAATTTAGTTAGAATTCTAAAAGTGATCGAATGGGCATATAATATCGTTTAGTTACATATGCTTTGGAGAATAATTTAATTTAAGAAGAATCTATAAATGATTCTATAATAAAAAAAATGGATTTATAATGTTTGGAACATCAAAAAAATTTATTTAGATCTTGTACTGATTCTTCTATTAATACTCTAATAAAAAATAACATAAATCCTAATTTTTAAAGTGGAGGAAAAGAAAGTCCACATGAGAGTCAAGACTAAATAATGAGATAAAATTCAAATAATACTCATAATCCTAGACCTAGTTTTACAGGAATAGGAAGTACAAAATAAATGTCTACTTTAAAATTAATAAAATTAAATAGTAAAAAACAAGAAAAGTAAGAAATTTTTGAAAAAATTGAATTAAAAGTACCTGAAAAAATAGTTTTATAAGATATATGTGAACATTCATCAGATTCTGATTTATAATCACCAGATAAGACTAAATTAACAAAATAAAATAGTTTCACATTTTGTGCATCAGCAGATTTTAAAACTTAATTAAAAATAGAATATTATTAAAAATTAATCATTAATGAATTAGAAGGACTTGATAAATATTAAGAATATTAATTTTATTATCCTTAATATAATGTTGAAAAAGTAATTGAAACAATTAATGAAAAATATAAATTAAAAAGACTAAAATAATCTAAAACATTAATTAGAAGATAAAGTAGATATCTATCATCTTATCCAACTATATCAATAAGAAGGAAAAGAAGTGGAATTGTTGGTGAAGAAATAATACATGAGAGTTGATAATAAATATATTATTACTTATCTCACTCATTCATCTTATCGAAATTAATATTATCAAAGGCATTTATACTTTGTTTGGTTAATAAATATGTCAAACTTTCATCAAATCTTACTAATTCTATTATTATTTAATAATATATAGATACCAAAATATTACATAAATTATCTAAATTGATCTACATCTTAAAATGCTAACAATTAAGCTAAATAATCTAATTCTATATTTGATATATATCTAAGTTATATTAATAAATTAATTATACGTTTTTACTATTTATTTTAATGCTTTTACTCTAATTCTAACTAAAAAATGATTAATAATACTTCCCATTGTCTCACTAGATTCTTTATAATCTTTAAATAATTTAACATAATTTCCACATTTATAAGATTCTCTTATTCTAAAAAAGATCATTAATTAATTATATACCCAAGAGCAAATTTAATTCTTTAATCATCAGGATTCTAATGTAATATTTTCACTAATTAATCTTATTTATTTAACATTGTTAGATAAACAATTCTATAACTATCAAATTCAACTTTATTTCCTATTAAATTTGCATCTTTCCCTTCACTTATGCTAATCATGTCATATAAATCACACAACATAGTCCAACAACTTTCATATCTTGGAAAATCTCCACATTCTAAACATATTCTAGCATTTTCTTCATAAACTTATATTGTAAATCTATTTTCTATATGTTGAACCAATAAATCTTATCTTATTGATCTAAATTATTCAATTGTAAAATTATAATCTGCTTAATAATTCTTCCATTTATCCAAAATATGATTTAAAGCTTTTTTTAAAATAAATTCAGGTCTAATCGTATTAGGATCAGGCAAACCAGTAAGTCTATAATATGGTTTTTCTAAGTCTTCACAAGTTCCCTTAAAAATAAATTTAATTCCATTATACTGTAATTTTCATATTAGTTGAAATAAATTGGTCTTCTTCTTCTATTTTTTTTTTAATCTATTTTTATTGTTATTTAATCTATATTGATGCATTGGGCTGTAATTTTCCAAATTATAACATAGCCAAATCTATACTATAGTCAATTTTCTTATTTTTCATATGATGTTGATTAATAGTATCAACTTATTACTATTTCATTTAATCGTTTAAAGACATCAAATTTTAAATACTAGTAGATGCTGTAATTTCTATTATTAAGAACCATTACTTTACGCTGGTCCAATAGGTTGGGCTTAACTTGGAGCCCCAAATTTACTTGTTTAGCCTAATGAATTCAATGCCATAGCTGTGCTTTGTTTTATTTGGAGAGATTAAGAAATGAACGACTAATTTCGTATTTAATTCTCTCTAGGAAGTGTTGGCAATGGAAATTTAGACCAATCTCTTATACTGTATTCATTTTTGCGTTTGGCTTCTGCAATTGTAGCCTTTAAATATTGTTCCATGAGATTTCGCTCCTCATCAGATTGACATTTATTAAATGCCCTCTCTACATATTATTTAACTGTAACAGATGATTATTCGTTAAATATTTCTCTAGTATTACAAAATCTAGCACCTATATAATTTTAATTAAAATATTCATACTAACTAAATTAGGTATTTCAACATTTAATTTCCGATATAAGTAAGTGTATATCTTAATTTCATTTTCCCATCTTGATGGTTGATCTAATTCTGAAACATCTACTGGAGGTAGAAATTGATTCTACTCTTTCTCGATCCTATCGCTCATTGTATTTTTTTATTATTAATCTTGAGTTTATTAAGTAATTTATGGTTGTTAAGGTTATTGTTGATTCACTTATTAGAGTGGTTAGGATACCTTCTATTACGAATTCAAAGCAGGATTAGATTGTTGTATATACTATTACTAAGGTCTGTAAATGTTATTTAGATTACCCATCAGATTGTTTTGTTCTAGCTTAAAATAATCAAATACATTATGCTTATAACATTTGATAATTATATGGTTGATATTGATTATATTGATATTGCTATGGCATCATTTACTAGTACCCATATGGCATATATTAATTATATCCATAATAATTTTGATACATAGTTTACTAAGATGATTAGTATGGGTTTAAATTGATCTTCTCTGCTCTCATGGCATCTTCTATTGTTTATCTTTTATTATTATTCATTTTTAATTAAATGATTAATGTGTTTCAATATAAAAAAATTTATCAATAGATAAATTATTTATTTACATGCTAATAATAATATACAAAACTAACAATATAATAATTTCTAAATTGTCTATTAAATTAATATTTGTTGTTGAGTTTGATTTATATCAAATAAATGATTTTATTGACTCAATAATTTAATTAAAACTTCTTTACATCTATATCCTCTACTTTATTTAATCTATCTAATAATCAATTCTTTAATAGTTTAGAATCATCAAATTTAGATCAATTTATATTTGTATAAAATAATAATCTAAGAGTTATATTTACTGAAATTTCATTTTTTTAAATAATAAATTTAAGATATACTTATAAATATAACTATTATGATATTATAATGTATAATAATTAATTGATATATTATTGTTAACAATAATTTATTCAATAAAAATGATAAAATTATTTATATATGTAAAATTTATTTATAATAGACTATCACTTTTATACTTATAATGTCATAAATCTGTTAATCTTGATAATTTCTATACTCTATTGAGTAAATAATCTCCCTATTTAATTAGATTATTATAGAGTTAGTTTCTATCATCAGCTCTAGAAGACTCGATAATTCCAGCTACTTTATCAATTTTACAATTGATTCTTCTTGATGATATTAATTCACTCAATTCTCTAATTAATTAAAATACAATTATACCTATCTATAAATTATACTGTAACTCCAAATGCTTTTGCCATATTATTTAATGTTACTGTTTTATAGCTTTCTAAAAACTATGAATAGAAAACTACTCTATATTCTCTAATTAAGTATTTCCTATGTATACTCAAATATTGATCATGAGATAGATTTTCATTAACAATTGCTATAATATGAATTAATTTTTATACCAAATTTCTAGAAGAGTGTTTTATAATCACATTATAAAAATGATTCTAAAAAACTTTTCAATACTTGATTCTCTCTTAATACTCCTACAACCTCTGGATTTTAATGCACTTTCTTTTTTAAAGATTATCTATCCAAACATATCATACTTGTTAAGACTGTATAACTAACAACTTCATTATAAGATATGATTTCAGATGAATTGAATGTAGCAACAGAATCTAAGAATAATTTACATGCTTTTGTGATATCTCTGATCATTAAACAATATATTCCTTCATAAACTTTGAGTCTATTCTTTCTTTCCCAATCACCTCCTTAATCCAATAATATTTATTATTAATTCAAATGCTCCTTGAATTTTTCAAGATTTCTTTATTTTAAATATATTTGTAAAATTAAGAAATGGACATCCATTTTTTTACCAATACCAACAGATTTTGGTAATGTATCAATATATGTTTTGATTGCCTTAAATAATAATACAAATGTACATCTTCATATTTATTATATTTTTATTGTAATGAGGCTTTTTCAAGCATTGCATCTCTAACCTCAACATCTCCCAAATTTTCTTAAGAATCTTTTATTTTATTCTCAACTGCCTCTAACTATTCTTCAAAAGTTTTCTCTTACTCCATTTTAATTTTAAATTTAATTAATACTAATCTCAATATCAGTTTTAATTCTTAGAAATGTAATAAACAATTTTATATATGTATAATACATTTAATAATTTAGAACTTTGATAACAATTACACTTTCTTTTTAATTAATTTTTATTTATGTGTTTGTTTCAAAAATGAATAATAATTCAAATAAGATAATATTAATTTAACAATAATTTTCAAATATTTAGTTTTTACAAATAATCATAAAATAATAATGTGAAATCTTTCATATCATAAATATATATACAAATATAAACAATTAAGTAAATATATTATTAAAAATATATAAAAATATTATCAACAAAAACACTTTTTAATAATAAATTGATTTGTTGACAGTATTTTGACCTTATTTTATAAACTATATAATAATTTTTAAATTAATATAAATACAATTAATGAATAAAATAAATTTATAAAAGAAACAAAAATAAAAATAAAAGTTTATTCCTTTAGGATTTGTAATCAAATACGATCCTCCTGTTATTGGTATCAGATAAATATATATATTAAAGGATTATTATATAAGAGAAGTATACAAGAAAATAAAAAAAAAGTTTATAACATTCATTTATAAAATCTAATAAATTTAGATGATGAAGTTGAGATAACCAAATAATTATTTGAAGAACATCCTGAATTTTTAGATCCTGATATCATTGAACCTGAATAAGTTTTAGGTTTAGTATAGAGATTGATCGAATTTAGATAGATAATGGAGAGAGATGATGATGATGATGATGATGAATATTAAAATGAAGAGACTGATAGTCACATAATTGATGAAATGTTTGATTGATAATTTTATCTTGATATATATTTTGATCAATATTCAATTTTGATATGCATTAAAACATAAGAATTAGCTAAAGTTTTAAACTGAGAATTTAATAATGGAACAATTCTATAGCCTGTTCTTATATTAAGTGGAGACAAACAATACTAACCTAACAAGGAATCTCCTAACATGGAATAACTATAGGCTTATATATAGATAACATCTTATTAAGCATGTCTAAGTTGAATAACACATTAATAATTAAAGATTGGATGATATCCATTATCTTAAACAACTTCTGTTCTCCATTTATCAGATTTATTGACATCATCTTTATTTCCTGCAACTCTAATTTTAATATATGGATCAACAATTTCTTCTTATCTACGTTTTACTTCTTCCCAAACAAGATTAGTAGCACTGATGATACGAACATATATGTTCATTTTTATATCTTGATTTGATTTTAAGATATAAGAACTGTTAAGAAACATTCCATAATTTTACAACATAAATATATCTTTGGTTTGTATATTTAAAGCAACCAATTAAGCTCCTGCAATCCAAGAAGGGAATGGATCATAATTGCTTGAATCAAATCTTAATCCTAAAGGATAAACTCTAACAAAATAATTATCAACATATTCTTAGAATTTACCATGACTCTTTTTTATTACATCTTATATTTTATCTTCTGAAACACTTGATACAATCCAAACTAATTCTGGTTTTTTATCTAATTTTAATGATACTGCATATAATGAAGTTATTTCTAATAATTCTCTACATATTTTCTTATGATGTTCATCAAGAGTTTGACTAAATTATTTAACATTTGCTTAAAGATTTTAATCATCTTCATCATCTTCAAATCTAATTAACATATCATCATGAGATTATGTATAAAATAATGTTGAAGATTGAGTTTATAATTTCTCTTATAAAAATTGATCATCTGCTTTATATTTAATTAGAACCTTTCTTTATAATTATTATAAAGTTGAAAATCTTTCTTATTTATAATCTTTAATTACAAATAGCATATCTCCAAGAATGCCTTATAAAAGTTCAGCTATTCTTTTTTATTATTTTAAACAACAATGCATTTCAAGTGATAAAATAGCAGGATTATTATCTTTACAAAATGCAAAATCTCTAACTGTCATAATAACATCTTTAAATTTAATATCATTAACTAATGTATGTCCATGTGTAACTTTTGGTTCACCATCTTCACCATCCCAANAATATTAAAATGAAGAGACTGATAGTCACATAATTGATGAAATGTTTGATTGATAATTTTATCTTGATATATATTTTGATCAATATTCAATTTTGATATGCATTAAAACATAAGAATTAGCTAAAGTTTTAAACTGAGAATTTAATAATGGAACAATTCTATAGCCTGTTCTTATATTAAGTGGAGACAAACAATACTAACCTAACAAGGAATCTCCTAACATGGAATAACTATAGGCTTATATATAGATAACATCTTATTAAGCATGTCTAAGTTGAATAACACATTAATAATTAAAGATTGGATGATATCCATTATCTTAAACAACTTCTGTTCTCCATTTATCAGATTTATTGACATCATCTTTATTTCCTGCAACTCTAATTTTAATATATGGATCAACAATTTCTTCTTATCTACGTTTTACTTCTTCCCAAACAAGATTAGTAGCACTGATGATACGAACATATATGTTCATTTTTATATCTTGATTTGATTTTAAGATATAAGAACTGTTAAGAAACATTCCATAATTTTACAACATAAATATATCTTTGGTTTGTATATTTAAAGCAACCAATTAAGCTCCTGCAATCCAAGAAGGGAATGGATCATAATTGCTTGAATCAAATCTTAATCCTAAAGGATAAACTCTAACAAAATAATTATCAACATATTCTTAGAATTTACCATGACTCTTTTTTATTACATCTTATATTTTATCTTCTGAAACACTTGATACAATCCAAACTAATTCTGGTTTTTTATCTAATTTTAATGATACTGCATATAATGAAGTTATTTCTAATAATTCTCTACATATTTTCTTATGATGTTCATCAAGAGTTTGACTAAATTATTTAACATTTGCTTAAAGATTTTAATCATCTTCATCATCTTCAAATCTAATTAACATATCATCATGAGATTATGTATAAAATAATGTTGAAGATTGAGTTTATAATTTCTCTTATAAAAATTGATCATCTGCTTTATATTTAATTAGAACCTTTCTTTATAATTATTATAAAGTTGAAAATCTTTCTTATTTATAATCTTTAATTACAAATAGCATATCTCCAAGAATGCCTTATAAAAGTTCAGCTATTCTTTTTTATTATTTTAAACAACAATGCATTTCAAGTGATAAAATAGCAGGATTATTATCTTTACAAAATGCAAAATCTCTAACTGTCATAATAACATCTTTAAATTTAATATCATTAACTAATGTATGTCCATGTGTAACTTTTGGTTCACCATCTTCACCATCCCAACAATCTAATTCAACACATTTAAATCCCATTTTAAATGCATCTTAATATGCAAAACAACTTGATTCACCAGTTAATTAATTTGTTTCCAAATATGTATTATGTGATGAATTTATTAAATATTTAGTAATTGGTTAAGATTAATCTATTGCTGTTTATTAAAATAATGTGTTCTCTTCATTAAAAATGATATTCTAAAAATCATAAAAATTATATAATTTTCTTTTTGGTTAATAATCATTTTATCCTTGTTCTAATTTAAAAAACTATTATAAATCTTTATCTGTCATTAACATTGCTTAAAGTGGATCTTCAAACATACCTTCTTATTTACTACTATATTTTTAATATAATTCTGTTAATTCATGTCTACGTGTTATGTCCATTAATAATTTATATAAGGTTGCTTCATCTAATTAATTATTCTTTTAATTTTTCTCAAAGATTTGAATTAATTTTCTCTCTGGAATCTCAATTTGTAATTCACCTATTAAGAATTAAAATTCCTTAAAGTTAAGTTTATTATCCATATCAATATCTGCTTTAGTTATCAATTTAAGAGCATTACTCCAAATTTAATTATAACTATCAAGTTATTTTTAGATTCTATTTGCTTCTTTAATCAAATAATCCAATCCTTCTTTAAATGTGATTAATTAGAATGGACTTTCAAAATAAAACTTTATGTATTCACCTTATGTATTAATTATTTTTAATTTAGTTTGTTCCTTTTATTAAATATCTGATATCTAAGTGAGATCAAAATAAGTACTAAATGTGCCTTAGGGATCAAGCTAAGATACAGATATGATAGATGATTACCATTTAGATCATTCTAACCTCATTTGGACTTAACAATAAAATAATTTAAGTACGTTTCATCTTGTGTAATTTCACTTTTAATAGAACTCCATAAACTAATGAATTAACACCTTAATGATTGATTTTATTCATAAATGTAGATTATAATTAAATATATTGAAAGATAAATTATATTATTAATTTCATTTATTATCAGATAATAGTAATTGTTTGAGTAGAAAATCTGCTCCATTTATAGGTGGATCATGAGATTCAAATTTCTCAATTATTGGAACAATTGTTTATACTTCCCATTAATCTCTAAAACTTAAACGTTTATCAATCATTAAACACATCAATTTAACAATACTTTATTATAGTTCATACTCAATAGGAACTTATAATAATTATATAATATAAGGCATTAATCCATTTTAAACTTTTTCTAAATATTTTTCATCTTCTATATTAAGATGACAAATTTTAAATATTGTATTGATTGCTTCTGCTTTCAAAAAATCAACATCTTTTATTTCAACAAAATACACATCACTTATAAGTACAACTACTTAAAAAAAGAGATCTAATTTATCTCTAAGATCCATATCTCTACTAATACATTTAGTATATATTTTAAAACACATTGCCAAAACTTGTGCTGAATATAAGGCAAATCCTTTATGTTTTTATATTATTCCAATCAAAGTATTCATAATATCTAATTAAAGGAAGGCTTCAATATTCTATACAATAGTCATTAATGAAAATATCAATTTCAAAGTATATAATAAGACATTTTAATTATTAGTTGATAATTTACTATTAATAAGAGCTATTCCATTTTCTTTCATGATTTAATACTTAAATTCCTTTGAATTTGCACACATATTATAAAGAGCAACACAAGCATAAGTACTTAACATAGGATGATCAGATTAATATACAATTAATAATGGTGATATTAATCCTTTTTGAAGATTGATTATTTATTCTGTAATTTATTCTTTATCTTTTGAATGATATGTAATTATATGTTTACAAGTAGCTAATTTAGTAGTTTTACCATGAATAAGTAAATGCATTAATAAATCTATATATAATTATTATTAATCTTTCTTTAAAAGTTCTTCTTTAAATAAATCTGTATCTAAAAATGATATCATAACTCTTTCATTAAAAATATATTTTTAATAAGCTATTTTTGGAAATTTTTTAGATACTTCTTCTATAATGAAATCATTACTAACTCCTGATTATTCTGATACAGAATATAAACAGAAATCAAATATTTTTAAAACATCATCCTTATAATTATTATGTGCTTTCATTATAGTCTTAAATTTAAAACTAGAGTCATAACCACCATCTAATTAAGAAGCAAGGTATCTTGATACTTTATATATATATATCCTGTCTTTTTCTTATTTTTATTTATCACTAAGTTTAAGTTCAGAAAATTAATTTTTTGTACTCTTTCTAAATCCTTCTAAAATAACAGCAGGTCTTTTATTCTAATCTAATTCTTTTTCATTATCAGATTTATTAAATAATATTTTAAATCCCTAAATGATAGGAATAACTAATATTTCTCTAATTTTTGGAGTTATTTAATGTTTTTATTAAACATAAAACATCCAATCTTCATCAAAAACTAAACTATCAGCCATTAATTATATGAATCCTTTATATATAGGATCCATAGGTTTTAAATCAGATGCATAAATAGAATCTGCAGCATCTCTCATAATATTTAACCAATAATAATCTGAATATAATTATTTAAATGCAGCAATATAAGCTTCTCCTGCATTTTTTTTTTCCTCTTCTCCATCTTCTTCATTTTCAGATTCTTATAATTAATCTTCTAATTCTTATTATTCTTATTCAGCCTCAGGATTTTTATCTTCAACTTTACATTTTGGATCATAAAGAAATGTAAGTACAATATCTACAAAATTTTCTAAATATGGTGGATGATATTTTCTTCTCATCATAATAACAGCATATTCCATTTCAATAATCTATTTAGCAGCTTTTTTCTTTTTAGTTCCTTATTAAGGTTCATCTTAATGTTTCATAATAACTTTAGCTCTTGTTTACCAACATTTCCATTCTGCTAAATCATTGTACAAATTTCTTCTTTTAAAATATGGTGCTGAATGAGTTATCCAATATTTTTCTTCTTCTGCCAAAGCATTATGTACATAATATTCAGCATAATATTATATATCTATATGATTATGCATATGTTCCAATACCTCAAGTTCATTTGTTTCTGAAACTTATAAAGTAAATTAAGATTTATTTTATCCATTTCTATACAACCCTTTCTTAGTATTCTAATAAGAATTAGGAAAAAAGATGTTATATCCATTTAACATATGCATATTATATTTATACATTTCTTAATTCTCCATTAATTCTACTTATGGTTTCTTTAACATTGTTACTTAATAATTATAATCTCTAAACTTTCCTTTATAAGTAGGCAATTCACGCACTTCTAAAAACTTATGCATATAATCTGTTTTCCAACCTTACTAAATAAACTTGATCAAATCTCTTCTTTCCAAACTATGTATATTCATTTTTAATGGAACATTTTTTGGTCTTTTTGCATTGAAATGAATCTATAATAAATATATATCCTAAGATGACACAATCAAACGATCAATACATTAAAAACTCACTTTTGCTTCCAATATATCAAATCCTTCTTTCAAAAAGAATATTGAAGTATTACCCAATATTATAAAATATCGATTCTCATTATGTTGAATCAAAGTCATATATTCTACACCCATTTCAAATAGAGAAGATAAAGCTGTCTTAGTTGTCGCACTAATCATTTATATGAATATTATTTATTTATTTTATATAATATTATCTTTACAAACATTATATATATAATTATATTATGGATAGTCCAGTCATAATATTTTCATTTATAGGAAGTAGTGCCACTGGTTTTGCCCTATATTAACTTATACCCTTGCTTTACCAATTAAAGAAGAAATACATTGAATTCTAATAAATCAATGAATTTACACCTACATCTCTATTAAATTACTTCAATCAAACCTAACAAACTACAGTTGAAGCATTTATTGCAGGAGAATTGATTTCTGATAGTCCAATAATTTCAAAGGTTCCACTCATTTTAAGTGAAAAGAAAATCTATTACATATATGAAAATGGCATGTATGTACATGTTTTTATTTCATAGAAAAAAATTAATCAAAACTCTCCAACATGGTGCATCTTAATTAAGTATTGCTGATTATTATAATAAAATTGAAATATGGAAAAGTTCAACTCTTAATTATCAATATTCCTTGAGTCATATATGGGATAGATTTCTACCTAAATAATTAAGTATTTTTTAAAGATTAGCTAATTTCATTTTAAAAACAACTAATTTAATCAAAACAAGAAAATTATTTTTCAAAGGTTTTCATACTGGACTTCTAGAAAGAGAATTTGGTATAATAGCAAAGGAATTCTATGTAATATATGGTGAAATTATACTTGATAAAAAGTTAAATAAAATGTTTCTATAAAATCCAAAATACATATTAAAAAGCAAGAAATAATTGTTATTATTAATATAATAACAAATTAAATTCAAAAGAATAACAATAGCAATCCTTGTTACTATATTTACTATTTGGACATATATTTTAGGTTGCAGTATAAAAAATTTAATTTTTAAATTTCTTAAAGATAGAGAAAAGAAAAGATTAGATAAATTAAGAGGATAAAAATATCTAGAAATTAATAATTATGAATGTTAAATCTGTTATGAAAGACCTAGAAATATTATTATTAAACCTTGCAAACATCTAACCATCTGTCATGAATGTTTATAAAGATTTAAGTAATCCAAATGTCCAATATGCAAATAATAGATAGAAGATTATATCGAAATCTTTTTTACTTGAAATTAATATAAGGTAATTGATTATTATATCAACATTCATCTATATCCTAATAAACATATTCATCAACTTCTGCTAAATACTCTAGTATTTCAATTATTCTGGCTTACTTTAATTTTTCGCATTCCTACTCATTTTTAGCCAATAAAGACCCTGTAAAACATACTGCATTAAATGATACTCCATTATAATTTGCTTTTTTTCGAACTACTATCATCATAAACTCTTAAGTCATTATTAAATTATGTTTCAAATCCTATATATTATCTACTTAACATTTATTTAATAATCTTTCATACGTCTCATAAATTAAATTCTATTACTATAATTCATCACAATTTTTGCTTTATAATTAATCCTGATTAAAAAATAAAATGAAATGTTTAATCTTTTTTAAGTACCTTAACCTTATGAATTTATTTAACTCTTTTAAACTTCTCTCAAATTACCATTCTCTTATATGATTTAATATATTTGCACTTTAATATGCTAATTTAGACACAATTTAAACATGTTTGTGATCTAAAGAAGCCCCTGCTTCACTATGAGAATTAAAAAATGCAAATCCTTCTACTGCACATAAAACATCATAAGTTAAACTTAAGTATTCTTTGCTGAACTTTTCAGTCTAATGAATAAATTATTCTGGCACCAATAATGTATGATATGGATTTACAGGATATTTATTTAATAAAAGATTATATTTCTAAAGTTTCAATACTAATTATCCTTCTTCAAAAGGTTCAATTAAAGGATTAATCTATAATTATATTCCTACTTACATTTTATTAATAACCCACTGGTTTCTTTGCTAGAGATTTTACTAATTTTATATGAAACTCTATTCCTTGTTCATTTTTAGAAAAAGTTTATAATATATCAAATGGTTCAACAAACCCTTTATTAATACTTTCATTATAACATTTTACTATCTATTATTTTATATTCTCTCTAAACTCTCCTTTTGTCAACTAAATATACCAAATACTCACTCTACCCCTCTAAATATTCGGTAAATTCCATAACTAAATCCTATAGCAATAACTCCAAATAACCCTTTTTAGCATATTTATAATTATTTCATAAGTAAATTAATTTAATAAAACTATATAATACTATGTAAATGATGATAGCTAATTTTAAAGAAAATAATTATTCTAAAGATTGCTCTTAAAGTAATATATTTTAATCATTTAGATATATACATTTTATTTATGTTTCATTTATGATTTATATAATTATTTGTTAATTTAAGATTATCATCTTCTTTTTTTTTTGATTCTAATCTTCTTTAAGTACTTTTTCTAACAATATTTTCATCTAAATAATAATATATAATAAATATACAAATTCTTGATTTTGTTATCATTAATTCAATACAAAATCCAAAAATAAATGCATTTCTAAAATGTTTAATATACATTTTTCTTGCTTTTTATTAAACAGTTTATAATTTCTCTGCTGTCACTTCAAAAGTATAAAACTTTCCTAATTTCTCTTAATCTTTTGATTATTTAGACATTTTTTATATTATATTATATATATATATATATATATATATA